TACCTTGTTGATTACTTCTGCCTCTGACACTGCAAAGTAATAGTTTTCAGTAACTAACACAGGCTACATTGTGTCATACCACAGCACCAAAAGCAAAAGTCTGTATAATAAGAAGATAATGAAGAGCAGTCATGGACTTCAACGAAAAATCACAAAGAACTGCGAAGCTCTTCCACAATTCATGCTCCATTTGGTCCCTGTCCCTTTGGGAATGGTGTCAGTAGTGAAGACAAACAGTGAATAGATTTAACAGCAGCCTACAATCTGGATGCAAGATGCAGTGAGAAGAATTTAGCAGAGTAGCCTGTGACAGCTCACATGTATATTCACATGAATGTACAGTTGCTAGATAGTAACTAAATGCAGTGGGTCCAAGTTATTTTTAGGTCTATTGTGAAACCCCAATGTCACTTTATTCCAGCTGCTCCAAAGACACACCACCACCATCACAGAGGCCTGGGCTCTGTATCATCACTCCCAGTTTGATGGTCTGAGTCTAACCCTTGCCCTGCCCTAGAATTTTGCTGCCAAGGCAACAAAGCCCCTGGCACAGCGAGGGCGATGCGGACAAGAGTGTTTTGGACAACCAGCTCACGTGGGCTGGGGAAGTGGTCTGGCTGTTGGATAGAGAAGTCTCTGCATTGGCTGCAGTCCTGCTAGAGGTCTCATAGCCATGCTGGCCAAGGGCACTTCGGTTGATGTGTCCTTGAACTGCTGCAGGCAGAGCACCCATTACTATGGGACCTTGAGGGAAGGAAGGGTAAACAAAGTGGCAGAGAGACATGGAGACAAGAATTTCAAGTAAACATCCCATGCTAGAGAGTTCTGAAAACAACAAACTTGACAGATCTCAGCAGAAAAAGCATCCTTCACGCCTCTGCAAGGTTTGCTTGGATCTTGTAACAGAGACATATCACTTAAAAAACCGCCTTGCTGATATATGAGGACTAAACAAGCTTCACTGTTAGAAGGATCAGTGAAAAGAGAAGGCCTCATCCTGTTTATGTATGCTTCTGCAGGTCTGTTCTAAGGACCAGTACAAGCTGCAACACAAACTCTTCAGGACAGAACAGTCTTGTACACCTCTTGTACACCTCTTGTACACAGCCTGGCAGGACACAGCCCCAGGATCAACTTCCCACAGCTATTCCAATGGCAGGAGGGCTCTGGTGTTCACACAACCTCTCAACACAGTTACTCGGAAGCATCCACATAAGCAGGACTCCTAGAAGAACACCAGGGCAGGTATGGCATAGGAGGCAAGCAGTGCAGAGGACCACACGTATACCATGCAGAGGGTTCGGACCAGGGCAGACTTGCAAGCTGCCACCTTCCCCCCAGATCTGCAAGACTCGAGTATAAAGAACGCAGCTGCTGTCTCACTTCCAAAACTAGTAGCTTCTTTCTCAAGAAGGGCAAACCTATTGCACAAGAGCAGGACTATGTGGATCTTCTCCTTACACCCTTGGTCACCCTTAACACTCAACTCCTCAATTCTTGTTCTTATTCACAAGCCAACCCTAGTACAAGTAAAACCCACCTAACACCAGCAAAGACAAAACCACCCTTCCATCTCACTGCTGAGCTGGAAGAAGCCTTTTCATGTTCATGCAGAAACAAAGCTGTAGCAAGCATGAGATCCCTGCACTTGTGTAAAGACAGCTCACTATGGACTAAAGAGGTCGATCTCTGAAGCTTTCTTCCTTTGCTCCTTCAGCTGAATGCAGCCTCAGCTCTTCTCTTTCTGCTCTAACTGTCCCCCAAAAATTCTGTCCTCTGTTTCCCAAAGCACTGAGAGAATGCATAGGGAAATATTATTAATCTGCAATTAAAGAGAAGCATAAGCAGAAACACGTGTACTTCACCCATAAAGATATCCTCTGCTTGATCTGGTGTGGTATAAATAAGCAATAAAGATACCTCTGGAAATCTCTCACTATTTTAAAACAAAACTATTTATCTCTGTATGTAGCAAGACATTTCCATATAAAAAATTCAAGAAAAGGCATTAAATATAGCAAAAAGACTGAATCCCCTGCTTCCCTGCACTACACCATCAGCTAAACTAGAAATAGAGATGAGAAAGTCTCTAACTGCATTACTGTTGTAGATAGCACTGTAATGTGAACACAAAAATCAAGGATCAAAAACTGTCTAGTAAGTCATTAAAATCATTCCGTGATTTCCAGAAAAAGTGTCCAATTCATTAAGCAGCATGCTTAACTACTTAAACAATCAAACCCTTTTCCTAGCATCACGGTACATCACAAAATGTATGGTGTCCAAAGGGTTATCTCTAGGTCAGCAGTGGTCTGGCCAAAACACACCTATTGCCAATTAATCAGAGCCGGCTGTATGACAATCCAAGTGGGGGCCTGCTGGCCCTTCCCATCTAGCCTGTTATCTTTCATTTTGTCTCAGAGGAGACAAAGCAGCTCCGAGAATCACTCCTAACACCCTGAGCTTTGTACCTCTGACACACCTTCCAAGTGGCCATGGCCCAGATAACTGAGCAAGGGATGGAATCTTGGATTTCACTGTCCCTTGGACCTAGCCGGCTTCCTACAGCCCTTTCCAATCCCGATTTCTGTTATCCATCTGATGGCACAGCTGGACAGCCCAACTTTAAAAATACTACTGTTTCACAAAGGTAACTGTTGCTGAGCTTGCTCTTAAGTGGCACCCAGAGTCTGAATACCTTAAGGCACAAGCTGCTATCTACTTAGAGAAGGAATGGCAATTGCCCTGCAGCCAACCGTTCACACTGCCAGGGAATGGCCGAGGTGTCAGTCTCTCCTTTAACACTCCTCAGAGGCACTAAGCCTGTAAGAGACCTGTAAGAGATCACCACATGTATGAGAACGACAGTAAAATAAACACTATCCCCACAGGAGTTCGAGTAGACAAACATCTGCTCGGTGCAACACTGCATTTAACACAGAGAGGCAGAGTCCGGCAGCTGCAGCACATCAAGGCGAGGGAGGGAAGCAGACAAGGAGCCCTCCTCACTCCTGCCTGCAGAGCAAAGGGGGTTCCCTAACGGGCAGGGTCCTTCAGCAAACAGGAGCAGCACATTCTGAACAAATCTCCCTTGCAGAAAGAGGTCATGCCTCGCAACTGACAGCTCAAGGAAGCTGACACCATTTAGACTTCCAAGCCCAACAAACCCAACTCTCCGCAGGTGAAAAATCCAAATTCCTCTAAGAATAGCAACAGCTCCCGTTGCTCTAGAAGCAGAAGGGTCTTCTAGATTCTCCAGAAGACCACCATCAGAACAGACTCGGGAATCCAGGGCTGATGCACCAGGTATTCAAGGCTTCCACGGCTACAGCACGAGGAGAGCAGTGATGCCTCTCAGAACCACAACTACCAGTCACCACAGGCAGCGGGTGCTTTTCCCAGGCAGTTCAGCCCGGTGAACGCCGAAGGCAGCAGTCAGCAGAACACTGCCTTCCAGAAGTATTATGATTACCATTAAAATACCAGCCTGGTTTTATTACCCTGTAATTTGCATCTGTAGGGTTCCTCACCCTTATAATGGCCAGTAGCTTTGCTAACAGAGGTATCAGTAAACAGCACATCTTCCTCTTCCTTCTGTTTTTTTCCTTTATTATTTAAGTTCACAGCTGAGGTGTCATCTTTGATAAGGCTTCCTTTTAGACTCCTATGTTGGCTCACCTCTAAACTTCATGCCTTTGTTCCCCCCTTTCAAAAAGAGCAGTACACGCATCTGGGTCTCTGAAGTGTTGCGGCTCTTTTGGTCATTTTTAGAAGGGAGAAAGGGAGGAAAAAGCAGTTAACTGATTTATCCAAGATCAACAAGCCAAGAAACTAAGGGCTAGTGAAAAGCTTTGTGCTTGTGTCACAAAGTAAATAAGCTATGGCAAACACACACTAGAACATTTCCGATGGCAATTACTGATTTACCTACAAAGAGATGTCTATATTAATTAGATTATGAATGGCACCAACACAGCACGTTTTACATTCAAAACAATCAAAAATGACCTCCCAACCCTCATTTGAGCAAACAAACAAAAAATATTTTGAAAAGACCATATTTAGAGTTTCTATTCTAGTAATAAAACTATTAGAAGCAATTTCTAGAAAACCTAGCTTTTCCTAACCCCATTTTTCAAGCCTTCCTGCTTCAGAAACTGTGACAATAGTGTAATTCTAGCTTGCACTAAAAACAATCAGATTCAGGTTTTTCCATCACTGTCTGAAACACAAAGAACAAACTCTATTTTCTTTGGAGGCAACTGAAACAAGTACTTTTCCTAATCATCTTCATAATTGTTTTATAGACATGTTAAAGGTTTCCTTTCCAGAATGAAAGGAAAATTGTATGAAAGCTGTAAAATATTTCTATAGCCATCAAAGAGTTTAGAAAGCTTGTCTTTTTCCTCAGAAGTAGCTTAGAAGTTTTGTCTTTAAAGAAACTGCTTGTGCCAGTGACGTTAAAGTATCAAAGGACAGATGAGGAAAACTGTAAATTGATTTCTGCATACAAAGGAAAGGAAGTAGTAAGCATATAGCCTGAAGTCTGTTAATTAAAAATGAAATACCAGATTAAACCCAAACTGGTCCAAGTTTCTAAACTGATAAAGTTTTTCTGTTGCTGTTGTTTTGTTTTAAAACAGCAAACCTTTCTCTCCAGCAGCAAAAGGAAGCAAGGCAGCATTAGAACAGCCAAAGCAGGAACCCCGACTCTCCTGCCCCCATTTTACTGCACGAGCGTCCGCGACTTCCATCCTTGGGTCCATCCAGCTCGCTCTCTCCCTTTATCAGGCACACCCTCATGAAGTGCTTCCTATCTAACTCTCCCATCACAGATCAAAGCACGGGGAAGAAATGCTGGACTTCTCTAACTCCAGCCACGCCTTCAATCATCTACCCTTATTTTCCATATCATCTTCCCTTTCGTATCTATTTCTCCTCCCCTGAACAGCACTACACCAGCATCTTCTTTTCTCCCCAACTCATCATTATCCATTCACCTTTATCCTTTTTATCAGATCTCCAGTAAGTACCACTCCAATCTCTCTTCTTCTCCACAATGTCCCTATCACACTCGGAGACTTCTCTTTCCTTGCTGCCATTCTGTTCAACCCTGCTGCTGAACATTTATTTCCTCACTCACGGGGAGTTTGTAATCCGCACTCAAACCCGCCCAGTCAGCTGAAAGGTTATTTGTTTGACTTGAACTTCACAGTATTTTTTTTTCTTCCTTCCTGTTTCCATCCCTGTGACCTTCTCTATCCACAGCATCCAGCCCATGTGGCTTTATCTTGGACTTTCTATTCATTCAATGCAATCCTCAAAGATCTTTTTAATTTTACTGCAAATCTCAGTGAGCTTCCAGCCTCACTCCTTGCCCTCTCAACTCTTCCTTCTTTGCAACAGATCTTCGAGTACTGTTACTAGAGGGAAAATTCCACTCACATAACAACTTTGAGAGTCCACTCTCTACTTCAAGCCTGTCAACTTGTGTGCAAATTTAAAATGCCTCTCTGACATCTCAGAAATGCACAGCCATCAGCTCAATATGGCTACAAAGCTCCTTTTATTCCTCCCCACCACTTTCCAGCTTGCTGCATCACTAGATACCCCTTTGTTTGATTAAGACTAATCATAGCTTAAGGACACACAGAGAGATAAGCAGCTGCTCAAGTGACTGTATATCAACTCTGCCTTCCAAAAGAATGGCAACTTTTTTTTTTTTCCCCCTGCATGGGAGAGTAACAAACAAGAATGATTCAGTGACCTACTAAAGGAGCAAGTGGAAAAACATGAGTAAAGCTAAGACCTGAATTTCGGGTTTCTTGGCTTTAATTCCTCTTGCCACTCAGCAGAAAGAAATTAGAACGGGTAAGAGGGAGACAACTGGAAATCAATGTGTTAATTTCTGTTGCCATCAAACTCTAGTTCACTCAAAGCACATCATAATCATGCAACACAAAATCTTCACTAGAAGTAATGCCAAATTTCACAGTTCAGCCAAGCTTTTTTCAGACCATGCAAAAATTATTGAGAACTGGCAATCTGAGGACAAACTAACTCCCTCTTCCCTATTTCAGCAATCCATCAAAAATTATGGTTATGAAATCCATGCTGTATTTAAGCCAGAAAATAACATCTGTTTACTGTGTGCAAACACAAGACAAGAGAACTACAACAAAACATGTAGATTCAATGGTAAATCAGAGGATGATACCAATGATGTGCTTTTTATATGAAAAATGTGACTACTGGGCAGCAGGCCTCTGTAGTAACACCCTACACAGGCAGGTCCACAGAAATCACTAAAATCTTGTGACCTGCAGAATAGCCAGGAGCAGAACAAAAAAAAAATTGTTCCTGTATCTAAGTCTGGCTATAGAATTTGTCTTTTCTTTGTGTAAGAAAGTATGTGTAGCCCTGAAGACACCAAAACCTTAACTTCAACCAAGGCCTCTTCACACTACCACCATTAAATGTTTACTCTGGCATCTCTGGAACAAGAAAAGCTCAGCAATCTTTCTGCAAACCTTCCTGAGGTTCAAGGTTGTCAAGGTGCAATTTAAAAGCACGTCTTACATAGAGCTTAAAAGCTTGTGACTGTATGAAGCATCTGACATAAGCAGGGTAAGAGGCTCAGTAACAATGTTCCGATTCATACCGCACTCCGAATATAGCATCCTTGCTTTGAAATGACCCGTAACCATGAGCGCCTGTAACACAGCAACTCTGCTCAAATTAGGCTTAATTCATAGGATGAACATAGGTGGTTTTATCAGAGTAGTTTCTACAAGCAGCACATAAAATATGTAACTAAATTCTGGAAGTTTTTCATCTCAAACCTACTATCACCATTGCTAAGAACTTCCCAAAACACATACTGCATCAACAAAGAATATGTGGCAAAGGTGCTTCGGAAACAAGCTGATCCCTAACGTCAGTCCACTGATGAAGGGAATATTTTTGGCTTACATCTACATGAAGTGAAGGGGTCATATTGCTAGAGGAGAGAGGAAGTCTAGAAATGACCTGGCAAGCTTTTCCAACAGTAGTCTTCATCAGAGTTCCCAGACCCCATCCCCCTGCTCTGTGCAACTTTAACAAGCAGGATCCAGAAGGGTTTAGACAAGTCTCTGATGCCAATGTTAAAACTCTTACCTAAAGTGCAACGCCTGGCATGTTCCTTAAGCTCATATTAGAAGGTGAAAGACCTCTGAGGCTACTTAACAATAAATGAGCCCACAAAGACATCTTCACCGACCCTACCATACCCTACCACTAAGTAAGATGGACATCAACTGACACAGTAATATGTAACAAAAGTTTTAAAAGAACGCCACCCACACTGAGTGTGAGCAGTATCTTCAATAACTCCCAAAATAAAGTTTGTGCTTTGTTCACATGCTGTACATGACCACACACAACTGACTAGCCCATTCTCTCAACTGCAGAGATCATCTCCCCAGCACCGCACAGAAAGGAACCTTCATAAAGACAATTAATGACTTAACGTGGTCCCAGAGCCTCATCAACCTCTTATTTCTTTAGAGGGCATGGCTAAGACACACCGGGTGAGTACTAACTGAAGTCTGCACCGTCACTTATTCATTTTACACCTAGAGAAAATAACTAAAGAACCGACTTAAATCTACATCTTCCAGGAGTAATACATTTCATTTCCTACTCCCTGCAACGATTACATTAGTCATTCCAGCATGATTTACCTCTCTACCACCTCCACATCAAAACTCTGAAGATAACCAAGCACAATAGCACCAATCCCTACCGCATCTTTTTCAGAGCTCCACATGCAGAGTTTAGAATATGCAGATCTGCACTTCCAAGTGCATATTTCAGGTTTTGAGCATTAAACAAACTATACGTCGCTGTTTCCAAAGCAGAGCTTTCCACACAGAAGTCCAACATCCCTGTATTCCAGCCTGTTAGGGAAATAAATGGTTTACAGTGTCCTTTTGTAAAGCATAATTTTCACTTCACGTAAGCCTTCAGTCTGCACTCTGCAAGGAGCTGAACATTATTCTTCTGCTGAAGACAAGAGCTCTCCAAAACGAAGAGAAAAAATTATTCTGTCCCAATCGCAGAAAAAAACTTGATGATATGCTGTGGTCAGAACATTTCAGAACACAATTCAATTTTGGGAAGTTACTTTTGGGTAATGTAATTATTTGGATAATTGCAAAGTTATTAAAGGGCTTTACTAAATTAAATATCAAAATTACATATCATTTGACTTAATTCTGCTCAATAACAGTTGTAGGGCATATAACCATTAGTATTGTTTCTCATCAGAATGAGAATGAAAGATCACTTTCATTTCAGAAAGCACATTTTTTAAAAAAATCTTTTTGCTTTTAAAGTGTCCTGCCTGCCACAGGTCAATTATAGTTATCTACACACATCAAGATCTGCAAGGTCACGTTGTTTTAAAGGGCTGAGATGAAGGGGCTAAAAGAAGAAAAGCAGGCTTTATTTTACCTTCATCAGTGTGGTATAGTTGCCACAATCAATGTCATAAGAGAAACGGGTGACATTTAGATAAAGCACAGCCTGCGTGATACCTGTTGTAAAGCCCAGTGTTTATAAGTAACTTACTGATTTAGAAGATTGCTTTAATCTCCTAACTGTACAGGGGAGTACGCTATGGTCATATTTTGCCCTGTGAAATGGCTCATCTGAAATGAGGATTTTCAGCCTGCGCAAGTGGATACGTGACTGCAACAGCTCTGATGAAAATTAAAATCAGGTTAGCTTGTACTGCTCAAAGGCATGAGGGAATCACTTCCCTCGGGTTCAGAAATAGCTTTTTTTTCAATCATAAAAAAATCTGACAGTGAAGAGTCCAAAGCAATATTTAAAAAAGATTTACAGTACAATTAAAAGAGTCCAGGCTACACTGTGCATCCCAATGTGAACGTGATTCAGCATAAATGTGGTCGCTTTTAGATATAAACCACCCTTGGTAAAGACCTAGGTAATCTAGAAAAACTTTGCTTTCTAGCTCATTGGTAAAGGTAATGGATACCATGCAGTTTAGCCCTTCTTCTTAAAACTTTAAACACCGAAACACTAGCAATGGGTGTCAAGTGTAAATAAATATTACACACAGAGCTCTGTTACAGCAACTTCCTTGTTTTTGTATTTAACATAGCTGCATTACCCCAGCTCTCCAAACATGATGAGTTAGCTCATGCCCCTCATTGCTGGTTCTGCAGCAGCCACAAAGCAAAACCGACACTTCGCCTTCTGTTTTGCAGGTTTTGGTGTTGGCTTCCACGCCCCCAGTTCTTTTCTAGAGTGAATGTCTATCCAGCAAAGTCAGTACAAAAAATGTAAACACAGAATCTGCGTTTCACAAGCCCGAGATCAGACAGACAATAACAGGAAAGATACAGCTGAGGCAATAGCAATGAAAACATCCCCATAAGCCAACCAAGTTCAAATCAAACTTGAAGCACAAAAGGCAGTTGCCGTTTACCCCAGTATCGTATGTTCCCTGAGGAGGACATGGACAGAGAGACCACTTCTAAGGTAGAAAGGGTCGACCTACCTGCTTAATCAATCATTTACTAAATGACGATGACTCCTCATTTCATCACCCCGAATTAGACTTCCCAAAATGATTTTAATCCTTTTTAGACCCAACTTCACAATTGCTTTGTTTGGCAGATTTTAAAAATTTATCACAAAGCCATCGAGTGAGCAGACTGAATCTGGGCAGGATGCTGCAACTAAGGAAACCTTAAGGTATCCAAGTACAGAAGTATTAAGAACATGCTTTTCTTTGGTAGCCTTTAAGGTATTTTCTGCACCTTGCCTCATACTACCACCAACCAGCAGGATAAAATTATTTCTGCTAAAATAGATTTGGTGCTCAATTTATGCATCTACATCAGAGTTCGGTATTGTCAAAATAGTATCACAGAATTATTCCTTTGCATTACATGTGATCCTCAGTTTCAAAATCCCAAGGATACCCTAGTGGAAGCACAAACATAAAATAAAGCTGATGGAGGCTGATGAGAAGATACACATGAGAAGTCTAGTTCTGTCGCTCGCAATTGTGCCTCCTTTGCAGGTTCCTCTCAGCTTGTACAATAAAGGCAGACTAGTTAATTTTTAGTTAAGTTCTACATTTTTATTTCTTTTGTAAATGCAGATAATTTATGTCTACTGTTGTATGCACCTTATCTAAGATTCACTCTCTTGCAGTAACTAATAACTTGCTTGGTAAAAATTATCAAAATTAGAAGATTACTCACTACCTGTACAGAACGGATAGTTCTATTGTTCCCTCTTCGCTGAGCAATACTTAAATAGAGGAATTTGGGGTGGGTAAAGTGAATTTTTTTCTAGCAAGTTAACATGGATCCTATAAATGAAAGTAAGCATTTCTGTTGATATGCTCAGAGGCGTTTCCCATCGTTCCTTTTAATCAACTTCCAAAACACGCTCCACAGAGAACATCAGACTGGATCCAATTTCTGCTATATCACAGGGAACAAAAGGCTTGAGCAGGCATACATCTTTTCAAAACACTTCTATTCCATAGCTCTGCCTCCATTTTGGAGGACAGACAAAGGGGATAAATGTGAATATAACGCTTTATTTAAATAGATGAAAAGCAAAACTGAAGTCTGAGCAAAAGGTGCAGCTAAACCCAGGAAGTGCTACTACCAGCTGCAAGCACCGGAACAAAGGAAACAATGACAGATCCCGCTTTCTCGAATTTGTTATAAGATTTAGGGGAGGAGGGAGAAAAAAAAAAAAAAAAAAAAAAAAAAAAAAAAAAAAAAAAA